GGACTCCTGGCAAGGCATGACTTCACTAGATGACTTGAGTTTCTGGGAACTTGCCTCGCCACTGGCTGCAGCTGCAATTACCAGCGTGAAGCTGTGAATTCTCATGCTCAGCCATATCGTGTTACAGGAGGGCAAAGCCTGTTTGTCGGTGTCAAGCCATTTAAGGTTGCCCTTATTTCACTGTCAAGACAGCAGGCTGTCCAAAGCATTTTTTTAAAAAAGAGAGTTTAAAATACTAGTTCAGTTCATACAAAATATGAATTGAAATTAAAGGGTTTTTTAAAAAATACTGATAAATTATGGTTGCATAAATTTGACTAAATCATTATGAAGGAAAAAAGCAAAATAATCTCTCCTTTAAAAGGGGGGGGGAACCTTAGAAAAAAAACCTCACCATTCACCATCATTCAGGTGTCTGGTTCAGAGACAGGTGTTCAGCAAACCGACAAGTCTTGAGAATGGGGATTCTCAAGATGGCGCCCCAGAGTATAGAGACTGCTGTTTTGCTTTCCCTTCTATTGAAAAAATTGTCAAACTAAATGAAGCTGTTCCATCCATCTGGGCCACACAATGGCCCACTTGGGATGCAATGCTAACCCAGACCTCAGTGTGACCTGTAAGATGCTTCTGATCTCCTCCTGTATTTCTGTATGATCGTTCTCCTAAGACCTTTCTCCCTCTCTGGGAGAGGTAAGAACCCTGAGGCTGGACCCTCCGTTTCAGACACATTAGCAAACCAGCTGCCATTATAAAAATGTAATCACTTGATGGATCAAAACAGCACTTGGCTCGTCACAATAGCTAGCCAGAGGCCTTTGGAAAGCACACTGGCAAGTGGCACGTAAGAGCAATTGATATACAGTATATTGTAAGAGAGACTTCTATTTGAGAGCAGACAAATCAAAGACACACTTTAAAGAACTACTGGTTTCAATGGGCGAAAAGTATTTTTTTTCACCTCTGGTGGACATGCCCAAAGATTAAGGCATTCTGGGAGATGATCTATAATGAAATGAAAAAGGTATTTAAATATACCTTTTTAAAGAAACCAGAGGCCTTTCTCCTGGGCATGGTGGGCCAATTGGTGCCAAAGAAGGACAGAGTTTTTTTCATGTATGCTAGAACAGCAGCAAGAATACTCATCGCAAAGCACTGGAAGACACAAGACCTACCTACCAGGGAAGAATGGCAGATGAAGCTGATGGACTACATGGAATTGGCGGAAATGACTGGCAGAATCCGAGACCAGGGAGAAGAGTCGGTGGAAGAAGATTGGAAAAAATTCAAAGCTTATTTACATAAATATTCTAAAATTAATGAATGTTAGAAGGATGCTGGAAAGAAGTTATATGACTTTAGTAGAAATATTATAAAGAATTAAGTATGAATAGATTGACATTGGGTAAAGATGTAAATTTAAGTCTAAAATTGCGTTAAGTTAAAGTATGGAACTAAATTTGTGAAAGAGGGAAAGGACTTGCTGGAATAATTAATTGAACTAGAATACAAAAAAGGAGGTGTGAGGAAGTCGAGGAAATAAGCAAATGAAAGATAAGGATATGAAAATATGGGGTTCTTTTGTATGTTCGTTTGTTCTTTTTTGGGTTTTCTTTAAATGCTTTTGTTTTCTTTTCTTTTTCTTTTTTGTATTGTTGATGTTTTGTATTACTGTATTTATTTTTGTTCTTGAGGCTTTGTAATTGTTTATTGCTTATATCTTTCTTTTGTTTTGTTTTTTTGTAATGTCTAAACTTTAATAAATATTTTATAAAAAAAAAATCAATGGGCGAAAAGTATGCACATGTCAAAATCTCAGTGAGATCAACGGTAACGCAAAAGTGCTTTTAAGGATGGGAGCTTGTCCTGGGAGCATGACATATCAAAGACCTCCCTCACCCCGCGGAAATACTTCTGGTTGTAGCAGCATAATCTTCCATGGGTGTCTCTCCTCCACTGCTGGTGTTCCTACAGCAGTGAAGGAGGTGGGGGGGGGGGGAGAGACAACGACAACGACATGCCAATAGTGAATGATGGGAAGCTTTGGGTCAGCCTTGGACAAGGGAAGGGAACAGCATCAGTCCTAGAGTAGGCATACTATTTCCTCAGCAGCTGCTCCTCAGCCAGTGAAAATTTGGCAGGCTGTGAGAAGCAGCAGAGGGTACACGCCAGTTCCTCTGCTCACCTGCCGTGCAAGATTGTGCTTCTGGGTAGTATTGGCCTTCCAGATGATGAGGATCTTCAAGCAAGGCAGGAACAGAGCAATTTGTCGAAAGCCCAAGTCTCCTCATTTGAATTGCTGCCTTCTGTATGCTCCTACTTTTTGATAGCTCTAGCCCAAGGGTCAGCAAGGTTTATCTTGCCTGGGCCGGATCGGTCCCATGGAGATCCCTTTGTGGGCCGGATCGCACGTGTGCCTGCAATTTCCGGCGCTGCGGAAGCGAGTACCAGTGCTGCGCTGGTTTAGCGCAGCACACGAGCGGGCCGCTAGGTTCAGGGGCGGCTCATGGGCCGGTCAAACGACCTCTGTGGGCCGCTTCTGTCCCATGGGCCTTAGGCTGCTGACCCCTGCTCTAGCATATGCAGCTCTCGATGTAAAAATCATTTTTTAAACATTCTTCAAGTTATTGTGGATCATCAGAAATCCCCTGATTCCTATTAATAAACACTGTCATCTAGTGGCAAATAGGTGTACCAAAAGCTGTGCTTTGACTAGCCAGTCGTCAAAGTTGATATCAGAGACGCAGGCTGGGGTCAAGTAAATTTAATACTTGGGTAGCACCTTGCAGTCCTCCCTGCAATTAAAACGCTGAATACAAAATGTGCTTTTAGCTCTCGGAGCTCATCAAGCAAGGCTTCGCTATGTTTCTGAGATCAAAAGGAATTTGCGACTTGAGCTATACAGCTCTGCTGGGCTTGCGAAAGCTGGGATCATATGAGAACTTGGTCTTTTCCAGTTAAGGTCACTGGTTATAAAGGATTCAGTGTCCAAATAGCAGGCTATATTAAATCTATCTTCAAAGATGATATCACAGGAGCTCAGGGTTCATGGGACAAAGGGTGCAATCCAACTCCGATAATCAATGGGAGTCATACATCGGTTTCAGCAAGATAATACAACCAGCAGTGGCAGAGAATGCAAGGTGGTGGCAGCTAGGAAGTTACCAGGACAACTGTCTGGCCCTCTTTCCACCCTAGCAGTAGTGTGTCACCTAGTTTCCTGCAGATGTTCTGGGCTGAGGCTCAAACTTAACCATAACCTGCTCCCAAATGTGAAAGCAGCACATGCCATTTTATAGGTAACATCCACACTGTATACTTAAAAGTGTGTGTGGCTGACATCAAATAATCCTGGGAATTTGTCTCATAAAGCTGCAAGTCCCAGTACCCTTAAACAGTAGTTGCCAGGATAAGTGCTTTAAATGTATAGCATGGATGTGACCATAATCAATGAATGTTCCTGAGGCTACTGATTTCAGTCTAGAAAGGGTGTGTGCGCATGATAAACTCACACCAGGCAGTCAGCTTCTCAGATCACTTATTATTCCAAGGTTACTCAGGACAGGACATTGCCCTATGTTTTTCCTGACCTTCCTCAGCGATAACCATCACTATCTGTCATTTAGCCATCCCTAGTACTTCAGATGGGCCATGAATTGCAACCAATGCACTCATTTTGTACAATTGCAGCAGTTTAGAATGCTTGTATGTATACACCAAACCTCAAAATTACTCTTTTTTGGACAATTTCAAGAGGACCCCATCAGAAATATTTACACCAATGGAAAAAATCTAAGGTCAGTCTAATCCAGGCTTCCTCAAACTTGGCCCTCCAGATGTTTTGAGGCAACAATTCCCATCATCCCTGACCACTGGTCCTGCTAGCTAGGGATCATGGGAGTTGCAGGCCAAAAACATCTGGAGGGCCAAGTTTGAGGAAGCCTGGTCTAATCACATGGTTAAAGCAGACTCCTTTTTGATGGAAAGTAATCCTCGAGCATTATTGTAAATAAGGCAACAGAATTCAAAGCCTAGCCTCCTACCATCCAGGCCTGTATTTTTCTTTTTGCATGGCTTTAAAGTTATGATACAGGGTTCAGAGCAGGGTTCATGGGCCACGAACATTAAACAAGAAAATGCTAGGACTTTTTCTGAGCAGTGATAAATGCAAAATTAAATAAAGTCCTCCAGCAGCTGAGGTTGAATTCAAAAGTCTAAGTGGCATTCCAAATAGGGGCTTTAAAGGAAATGCAGTGGTCTGCCAAGAACAAAATCAGAACGAGCTGGCGTAGTCAAAGTAATTTGTTAGTGTGCCATCTCTATTCCAGTTGGACAGTGTTATCCTTATTGTCTCTACACATAAGCCACATCCCCTCAAAACTATGTCAAATTCTACACATAAATTCCTGTACAAGCTGAGAAGGGTAGCATGTTTACAGGTCACCATTAGGAACATTTTTTGTGGCAGAAAAGGACATAAGACATGAGGAATAAGATACAGGGGTCCTCTTCCTGCTACCGAAAGGCTCTCTGAAAGCCAAGGCTCAGGGCAGCTACAATAGATCCACAGTATTTGTTCCAGGACAGATAACGTATTATGGCCATTCTTTTCTCGTAGTCATTAAAAACCAAGAATTAAAAATCTTGTAATATTACTGCACTTCCTATCACTAGCACAGCAGCTTTTTCAGTCTGTATTTAAGCTGCAATGCTGACTGGCTGTAGTCCTTTTTTATTACTGCAGTTGAGCAGCAAGCTTGCAAAACACTAATACGAAGTTTAAGTAGGGATGAGGAGGAAGGGAAATAATTACTGGCCATTTACATGCACGGAAAAGTCTAGTGACTAGTTCCATCCAACTCACTCCTTGAATTATACTCTGAAAAATAATCAAGCCATGCTACTTGTAAAACATCAAGCTCCTATACCATTTAACTCAAAACAAGCTCCAGTGAAGCAGATTTGTGTCTGTGTTACCAAGCATTAAAGAGTTAAAGCAATTTGGTATGAAAAATTCCACATTTTGATGATTTAATGAGGTATTCAACAGAGTAGTTTAAAAAAAAAAAAAAGAACAGTCGGTATATTTTATTTCTTGTAAAAAGGTTTTCACACATGCAGACTAAAACCAGTGTAAGAAAGTATTCACCATTATTTTAAACAAATAACTATACTTAAATAGAAATGTCTGCAGTATGTGTGTATAAAAATAAGGTACATTTGTACAGAAACAAATTCTCCAGTTTTCATATTGATACAACTCTAACACATACAATTTAACCTGATCATTGTTTTAAATCAGTTTGATACTGCTAAGGTATTTTATGTGCAAAAATTCAACACCTTTTTTTAAAAAAAGTCCTACTCATTGAAGGTGTTGGGCTTCAAATCAAATCCTAATTTGACTTCTTTTCAAGTTTCAAACAGTCCCGCACGTGGTATAATATGCAAGTGTAAGTAAAGGACAGTTCAATCTGCCCCATCAGCGCCTGTGTCTGCTGTGTCCTGAGCGACTGCCACTGTGGTGCTTTCCTTTATGCGACCTCTCAAACGAGCGAGATCTCTCTCGCCTGTCCCTGTGGTGTCCTCGCTCGTGCCTGTGTTTCTTGGTAACATCTGTGTGGTCCCTGGATTTGCTCTGAGAACGGGAGCGAGACTTTTTCCTTTTGTGACCGTGTCTATTTGCACCTTTCAACTCTTCTCTGCTGTGCTTGGGTTTTAAATGTGGTGATCCATGATTATGATGCCTCCGAGGACTGCCGCTGTGACTACGTGACCTGCTTCTGGATCTTGAGCTGTAGGTTCCAGAGAGACTCCGTCTATTGTTGTAACTTAAAATGCAAAACAGCACAGTATTTAAACTTGCACAGTGTAAAAACTGTCTACTGCTTACGCGATGTGAAACAGCATCTACATCTAATCAACTTGACACTACGTGGTCTTTTGTTCCTAATTTTCATGAATAACTCCCTTGAGAGATGACCTCCTACTACTTGTGCTGGTTTTTTGGAGGGGCTGTATCAGCTGTTTTCCTTACTGTTTATCTGATTTCAATACTTATCACTGCTTTCCACACATATACACCCCTGCTTTGTTACTGTTTCTTAATTGTACTATTTGCAAAATAAAAATTAAACTTGTCACAATACACAAATTATCTATTGCCTACAGTATGTGAAACAGCACCCCAGCTCATTACCAAAGAAAACCGTATCAGACACCTGAGATTCTCACTCATATCTGTATCTGTCTACAATATATAAAAATTGCTTTCAAATTTGTAACAGACAGGATTTCTTAGGTGCAAGAATTTATTACATCTGTCCTCTTGGGAGAATCCCACGGCTACATAAACCCCCATAAATGTTATTTCATGCAGGATTTCTTCAGTTAAGTAGGGTGGCAAAATTTAGTTTACTGGCACAGCAGTGGCTAGGTCACATATACCAAATCCACAAAAGATAATCTTGTTTTTATTGCATATTTAAGCTGAAACACTGTGGTGATATTTATTATTTCATTTCAGTGTTCCAAGAGCTTATAAGTTGCCAACTTTTGATGCTTAATCATAAAAGTTACTCAAACAGCTTTAGTAACTTTGTATGTTGTCTCAAAGCAGAAGGCGTGATATTTTCACATTAGAAGCCCTTAACTGCTCTTTATTTTCATGTTACTAAGCTTCCCTTAAGAAAAATATAGGAGAAGGAAAGCATACTTTAAGTTATATTTAACCATTATTTAAATACTCACTGTCTCCTTGGGGAATGGGATCTGGACCGTGACTTTGTTCTTGACTTCGATCTGCTAGCACTTCTGCTGCTTCTACTTCTTTTGCTCTCTTTTCTCATACTGGATTAAAAAAGTAAGCATCATATCAATTTACAAATGCACATAACGGCATACAACTTAGAATGAAGTGAATAAATCATATTTTACAGACTGCTACCTACCCATTGTAAGGGCTCTTGGAAACCACTTGTCTGTCTTCTGGTTCTTTTTTGATAATTTTTGCATTGATGCACAACGGAGATTTCTCTTCCGCTTTCATTTCCCTTGGAGAGCCTATGAATTGAAGTAACTTAGGTAAGAATGTTGAAGAAACAGAACTCTTGACATTATACTTTATAGTGAATTTGCTAATATAAGTTTCTACAAATGGCATCAAACAAGGTTCTGATCACACGACAGAATTACATTTAATTTCTTACTCCTATAAGATGTCACACCCCCCCCAATTTTCTTTCTAATGTAGTTTTAATTCATTTTCATCTTAAAAATGTTTAGCACAGGTATCTTACCACATGTGCATGACTGTATATATGTGTGGTACCAGTAAATAATTCAATAAATCAAGTTAAACTCTTAAGAATGGCACAAAAAGAGCAGGAAAACAGCTAGCAATTCCATGAGAGTTTTTGCACAGACTCTTGAGGCCTGTGGAGTGCTGAGAGTTTGAAAAAGGAGGTTTGGTGGGAGCACCTGAGGCGGAGCTTAGTGGAGTCCTCTGGTAATGAGGAAGACAGTCACCATTCATGTCAGTTTGGCAAGTACTGCTGGCTTTTTAAAGGGGTTTCCAAAGGTTTATAGGGTGTTTCCCTATATTTCACATATCCACGCAGTACCTGGAAACCATGTAAGTGGGGAGATGCCTGTATATAAAGGCTGTAATATTTGCTCAGTCAGACATTCAGGGACTGCTAATTCTGCTCCAATTTTTCTTTTAAGAATTAAGTAAGTAGACGCAGAATCAAGTGGACATTGTTACAAAAAACTTACAGGGCTTGGAAGCAGGTGAAAAGCCTCCCAATGTGGAAAGGGCTGGCGTTCCATCCGGGTTTAATCCTTTTGCTTTTAGTTTAGCTTCTTGAAGTGCCATTTTTCTCTTTTCAACTTCCTTATCAAGTAAGTCATAGTTAGGCTGCAAGGAGAACCAGAGTGGGCATATAAACACACACATGTATCTCTTTGATTTTTAGCAATAGATCTTATTTAATTTTTTATTCCACCCTTCCTTTCGATTGTGGCCAAAGAGGCATACAAAATAAAATACAAGTTTTAAAAAGCAATTAAAATACTAAACCTTGTCAATTGCCAAAATGGAGCTTAAAATTAAATTACTTTATCATAGCATGCTAGCAGCGTCCATGCAGCAGAGTCCTGGAATTTATACAACTTAGCAATTGCATCAGGGTTGCTTGAATTTGCTCCCAGAAATACACAGCTTCTGTTCCAGGCTGTTCAGACCCTCCTCTAATGGCTGAGTTTGGAAGCAAAACAGAGCCTCTCAAAAGTATAGCACACATTCCTACACACTTGGTGTGGGGTGAAGGATTCTAGATATAAATTTTAAAATATTTCTGTGTAAGAAATTGCAACACCCCCCCCCAACTCCCTAAAAGAGGAGCACATCTTTTAGCATGTATATAGTACATTTCACAACACCTGCAAGTACACTGACAGTTACCTTCTTTCTCGTATACAACTTAAGTGTTGTTAAACATATCTCTTGAATTTCTTCTTCAGTAGTTCCAAAAAGCAAAAACCAATGGGGACGGTTAGGCAAAGGAATCTGGAGGAGAAATTATTACAAAAACGGGTCAGAATCTGAAACTAGGCAATTTTATTTAAAGATTGTTGAGATAAAGGTATGAGTGAAAACAGAAAACAAATTCTTACCTGTAGAGCTCTAGCTGCAAGGTAGATACAAGCACATGCTATTGTCTCTGGTTGAAATCGAACAAATACATTGGTTCTGAGGCTGTCGTTCATGTAATTCCTGAAAAATATGAATGTGAATTTGTTCCAAGTTCTAAGGCCTATTTATGAAATCAAAAACATGAAGTTGGAGACTCAATCTACTTTATTATTTTTTCTTCTCCTTCATACTATTAATTTAGATTCCAAAACGTCAAAGTAAGTATTAAAGACAGAATGCCTCAAATGCCCCAGGATCATTCCAACATACAGGCTCTTGTCATCTCTCTAGAACTCAGGAAAGTACAAGCTAAGTTTTATCTTGAGTTCAATCTTTATCACTACAAGGAAATGCAAGTCCTCACTATGGCTTTGCATACTATTATGTAACTCATGATTATTCTATGAAGTGTCCATCAACTAAGATTTAACTCTAAAATCATCTGTTCACATGACCACTTTAAAAACTACATATTTAAATTGTTAATTCATTCTTTTGTCGAACAAATCAGTATGTTTTATTTAGTGTGTCAACAACTACAATAGCTAAATGCATCTCCTATGATACAATGTAAAAACAAGATCTACAGGATATGCACTTCATTTCATAAAATTTATATACAAATGTAGCTTCATATTATTTTTGTAAACGGTTAAGCACTTGTGCATTCCAATTACGTCATGGGAATGAATTAAGTATGTGCTTAACACTTCTACTAAAAACAGTGGGATGTGACTGGAACTTGCTAAATCATTTTTATCAGCTGTTTCCATGGACTTTTAATGGCCTCATGTGCAGAGAGGCTGCAAAGACTTTACAAAGTGAATGACATCTATATAGATGAGATACAAATATAAACTATAAAAACTCTGAGAAGTCAAGTTCTAACAAATTAAAAACATTCTTAATCACCGAAAATGTTGGTGCTCAAAATTGTTATTTCAGAATTTAGTAATAAACGTTTGCTTCTGAACATAAGGGCGAGACCTCCAAACATGCCAACTAATCTACTGTGGATGTTTGCTGGTTGCGAAAAATATGCTCAATACACAAACCAGTAAATAGTTAGGCATGTGCTAGTCCCTCTGCATGCACAACCCACCACCAAAAAACCCCCAACCACTAGAATCCAAATTGAGACAAAACTGGAAAAGCAGTTAATTAGGAATCCGTGCTACAGCTAGACTTTACCATTTATGTTGACAGGTCATGTCATAACTAGGAAAACAAATACACATTTCATATGTATGTTGAACAGATACTTCTAGAATCAGATATACAAATCCTTTTGACACCCGGACAGAACTAGAAGATGCTGCCAGATGGATATGGACCACTTCAGTAAATCTTGGCTGAGAGCTTGCACTGCACTGGCTGGAGAGAGAGGCAGCCAATCAGGCCATCCTCAGGTCATGAGCTGTGGTGCAGAGGGCAGAGTTCTATGACTTACCATCAGAGGCTACCCTTTAATCAAAGAGTAGAAAAAAGAACAAAGTTAAATTGAGTTCTCCAAGAAAATGTGCTATGAAAGCCACGAAAATAGTAGGCAGAAAACAAGCAACGACACACATTTCACAAAGCGTTTACAAACTTACAGTTCATTCTTTGGTATATTGGACACCAAGCTTGTTTTTTTTCTGCTACTATTTTCCTGGCTAAGAGAGAGAAGAGGAAAACTTACCAGGCTGTTTGGACGAGTGTTTGATTACGTTCACATTCTAAGACTTGTAAGTACATAACAATGATCTGAGAGAGGAAGAAAAACAAAAAGGTAATTAAAACACCATTTAAATGTTAAGGAACATCTGTACTCGCATCCATCTTGAACATAAAGCAAGGCAAACTTAAATCTTAAATCTCCTATCTATCAACCCCCATTTCTGATGAAAATTCAAAATTCCACTCCCCCTAACCTTAGCTTACAATTAGGAGTTTTACCCTCTTCCTAGAAACAGGCATGTGTTCTTGAGTTATACAGGTTGTCATATCTAGGAATTGTTTACCTTTCCTGTCACCATCAAGACATTTTCGCAGTTCAATATTGAAGAAACTTTCGTGGACTCACCTTATGTGGATGCTTGACATGAACACAAAATCCCAATTCCTTCAGCACCCTCCTTTCTGCTTTGATTACTTGATTTTTGGTGTTTATGTAGTTCTGATCAAGTATCAATGGGCTTGGAGTCCTACAGTTTGTAAGAAATAGAGTCAAAACGGTTTTCTATATCGAAGACAACGGCTTTTCTGTTTTCCCTTCCAACCAACTAATGGCAACAGAAACCAGATTCTAAACTCCTGCAAACAAGTTTTAGCTTTAATCTTGTGCTGTCCAAGTTAACTAATTTAGTACAACTATGTTAACTTTAAAAAGCTTTCCTATTAACATTCAGAATTTCACATTCAAAAACATTTCACTTCACATAAAAGAGATGAGATACAAGGCTAAATTCCAAGTAATTCCTAGTGATGTCTTTTGGGAAGATTCCATTCTCTGAAAAGGAGCATAGTGGTGAATTCATCATTCAAATTACCACTGTAGTTTCAACATCTGTAAAAATAAATGTGTTATGCATGGGAAATAAAACAAAGCTATGCTTCAGTCATTTATCTTGATCACAGAATAATCTTGATTTCTTAAATTGTATGTAAACTTATTTTTTCAAACGTACTAACAAAAAAAAATGAATACTATGCTACAGTAACGAGAACTATGTTATCAGAAAGCCCTAAACGGCCTTGCCCTGTATATCTAAAGGAGCGTCTCCACCCCCACTGGTCAGCCGAGACACTGAGGTCCAGTTCAGAGGGCCTTCTGGTGGTTCCCTCACTGCAAGAAGTGAAGTTACAAGGAACCAGGCAGAGGTCCTTCTCAGTAGTGGCACCTGCCCTGTCCAATGCCCTCCCATCATGTTACACAGATAAACAACTACACGACTTTCAGAAGACATCTGAAGGCAGCCCTGTATCAGCAGGTTTTTAATGTTCGATGTTTCGTTATGTTTCTTATATATTTCCCGAGGGTGGCTAGGGAAAACCAGTCAAGATGTGTAGGGTATATGCAATAAATTATTATGAACATATTCCCTACCTCTAAATCCCTATAATCTGTTTTATCTTGTATCTATGTCACAAATTGCTAAGAAAGCACATAACCTGGTTTGTTAATACAGCTGAGGCAACATTATACTGTTCTCCGTTAGTTAAATTTAAACTACCGGTATCTTGCAAGGAGCAAGTTAAAAATATTTTACTGTGGCATTATTATGGAGTCTTCTACAAGCATCTTTCTGTATGAATGACTTATATTGGTTATGGATAGCCTTAAAACAAATCTCTTCTCATTAGTTGTGTACTATCCATAAGCAATAGAATTCCTTTCTACATAAAGATGCACACAGAATACTATTTTAATATTAAAATATTTTAGGTTGCTTGTGCGCAGTGTGTGTGTATTCCCCTACCTTCATTTCCATTGTTTTATGTTGAGACTGTAAACATCTTCAGGTAGTGATGTGTCCTCTTATATTCTAAAGCTTCATGCACAGGGATTGAACTATATACACAATCAGTACTACTTACTGCATTTTACAATGTTTGACATTCAGCAAACTGACTGAAGATTATGGAGCTTTTTTTTAAAGGAGGTAAGCGTTTCAAATCCTTTTATGTATAAGAATCATAAACTGTCTACAGCACAATCATCTGAATTCTGCCCCTGCATTTAACTAGAACAGGGATAAAAGCAATTCAAACAACTGCCTTCTTTAGCTGTTTACGGCAAAACGACACTTCATTCAAGAAAACTTGATAGTGAGGTTGCACTATATATTTCCTAGATTATCCTGATCCAAAAACCAAATGCACATTACTGCATTGAAGACAGCTTAGCTTCACTAAATTATTTGGTAGTGCAACAGAACTAACCTAGGCAAAACAGGCTGTAAGATTCTGTGCACTGATATAAATTTACCTTGTGCTCAACCTAGAAAACCTTAAGAAATCTGTATACTAGCACTTGTGAAAGATGCTTCATAACATACAGGTATTTCCTGTTTCCATGTCTTGTTGGTATACTGCCCAAGGTTAATTCAAATATTTGTAAGGCAGAATGTTGATGCACTATATACTTCTCAGAGGAACGTTCATTATCACACACACCCTGCTCCAAATGTAACTCTCAGTCATCTTGCTGTTACAGACCAGCAGAGCTACCCTATCCACAACTTAATGCAAGTTACTAAATGTCTCAAAATGTATATTTGCAATATCAGCCCTACTAAACTGTTTCTGACAGAGAAATATACCTTTTTAATTTCACAAATTAATTTACTTCTAATTTAGATGCAAATGTTATTAGACTTGGCAACTTGTTAACCTGAATACCCATAATATTTTATGAAAAAGTAGTTGGGAGGGGGAATAGATGCCACCTTACAGAGCCAAAAAAAGATTGTAGAAACTGTCTCAAGATACCGGATTAGCTGTGTACCAAAAAATTTAAGATCTTATATTTATTGCAATAGCATGTAAATTATTGGGCTTACAGAGTCCTGGGTTGTGGTCATTACATTTTTGCATTTTAACTACATACCAAACTCCTGTTGGGCTCTATGCAACCTGTCCAGTTAAATGAAGTAAGCCCACAGACTGCAAAGTGGCTAGCTATCCTACATTTCTACGCTGGGCAGGGAAGAGTGGAAGCCCCCCTCTCTGCACCTACTATGAAAATGCAGGTTACTAGCATCTTACGAGACTACTTTTAAGAATACCCTCAGCTGGCAAAAGGACAGGCAGTGACAGGCTTCCCTTCCTATATAGGCAACACAGGGGGGGGGGGGGGGAATCAGACTAGTATTGATAGGAGATCTCTCTGCATGGAATTCCTTGTTAACTATGGTTACCAGGAGAGTGGATAAATACAAGGTCAAGTTAGAGTTAGCTATCAGAATACAACATACCTTTCAAAAGGACTAAAGACCACATTAGTGCTCTTCCTAAATAGACAGCATTCCAACTGGAATGATTGGCATATGCAAACTTTATGCAGTTGTGTGTAGAGTTCACCATAGTATTAACAATAAGAATGCAAAAAGGGTGCTTTCGTATCAAACCAAGAATTACATCAGCTATGCTTACATATTAGGCACTGAAAACAGCCATGGCACTGCATAAATTTAGAGTTGTGTTAAAAAGTGTAATTATTACAATTTTAAAGGGACAAGAACATGATTCTCTGAAGCATAATAATACCCTGAGGAAATAACTTTCCCACAAATTTCACTCCACTGCTTCACGGCTGGAATAATGGCTCAACAAGGGGAAGCATTTCTTACTAAGATGGCAGAAGGCATCTTATCGGTTACACGTGCATATCAAATCAAAGTCTGACTTTAGAGTTCAACAGAGGTTACTCCCAATTAATTTCATCCTCACTTGCGAGACTTGCTTCCACTTAAACCATGCACATGATTGGGATCAAGCAGCAAGCCTGCAAGGTAATTAACTTTAACATTCCTTGTATAAGTGTATCCAGATGTTACATCGAACAGCCCATCAACATTCATGTATATTTGCAGATATGGCATGTGTTATGATGACACGCTTTCAAATTCTGCTTAAAAAGGTGTCAGGTTAAGGATCTAAGCCCCAACCTGTGAAATACTAAAGAAGAGTGACTTAACCCACTAGGAATGCAGTAATATGTACAAGCAAAGAGAAAATTATATTTTTGTTTTCACTGCTGTTGGTTGGTGGGCATAGCCTTTGATACAAATTATGTGACAGCTCCAATGCATGCACAAATGTGCTAATTCAAAATGATTCACATTAACATTATGTACTGTTGAGAAAAATCCAACCATTCTTGTCTGCTGACAATGGACTTTTGTAGCAGCTTTCCCAGCCTAACTACCAAAGATCCTTTTTTAACTGGAGATGCTGAGAATTACTCCAGGCGAGCAAAGCCAAATGAGATGTTGCTCCTCCCAGTAAAAAATTTCCATGTGCAGAGAACTTAAAATATCGATTCTTTAGTGCACACCTGCCTATGATTGCAATGCTTATTACTTTTAAATTATTTATTTCCCCCAGTTGTTACAAAACTGTACATTAATCATATAGAATGTGCACAAAATTTACTAATTGTGAATAACCTTGGCAGCAGCAAAAGCATTGGTTTATTAATTGCTATTTATGTTCTTAAACATAAATTTGCATGTTTGTGGCAGTCAGTGCTATACAACATCAACCACTTTTTGCATTCCAAAGTAAAAACTTTTCTAATGAGTCTTTTTTCCATTGAGTACTAGATTTTAGTAACGCATACTACAATTGTACTTGAGTGAACTACATTAAAGGTGAAGATTTCATGAAATACACAAAATAAAGCATTGAAATGTGACAGACAAACTATTAAGCACAGCATACCTAAATTTGCTAGTTAAAATTCTAACATTTGGCTAATTTCCAAAAACCTGGACAGCAAAGATGAAAGCTTAAAACAAGATACAGGAGTTCTTCCAAATGGTTCAGCAACGGCCAACCTGTCAGTTCCCCGATTCCAGTGACCTATTCTCAGAGCACTGGCTTCTCCTTGGGGATTTTCCATACGTCACTCACTGTTGCCATGACGACAGCTTCATCTCTATGAACCACTCCACATCACCCAGGCTTTGGTAAATGTAGCTGGTCGCTGTATAGTCGGTTGCAAGGGAAAAAAGAGCTAAAGTTAATAACATGTACAACTGATTTGTTTGTAAAACTGTAACACGCACAGAATAATGCTTTCATCCCATTTTTTAAAATGAGCCTGCATGCCAAAAATGTAAGATTTCTTATAGACTTGACTTGCTCCAGACTTTTCAGACAGTATTTGTTTTTAAGTTAGCTAAAAATGAATCAAGTAAAGTACATCTGCTTGAGTAAGACATCAGCACCCAACATGACATGCCAGGTTTTTTATGGGAAGACTTCTTTTTTAAAGAATTATGTTTTTCATCTACCCGCCATGCTACTTTTCAAATCCTGCCTGGCCAAGGAATATTTATATTATTAATTAATTATAACTTCACTTGAAATCTAGACAGTGAGGGAGAAAGTCTTAGGTGCAACTGTTTCATTCAAATGAAGCTGAATATTCTTTTTAAAATAAAAAAAGACTTGAAAAGAAAATATATTAGTACATGTGCACGTTACCTGTGTATAAACTAAATCTACCTTTCTGAAAAATAGCTTGTTTTGCCTAGATATGCTTTTAAGCGGTAAGACACATATTTGTATGTTGTTTTCAGGATGCCTCAGTATCCCACAAGATTTGGCAAAGAAAAATAAGCTCTTAAAAATGTCCCTAAGTAGTGAGGATATCATTGAAATCAAGCCTATATGTGTTTACTAATTAATCAAGAGACAGCTCCAGAAAAAAATATTCAAGATAGTGTGCAAGTTTTCCTATGTTTAATCTTTCCTTACTCCTTTATATTTAAAGCTTTACAAACCCACAAATAGGGACAGCTCTACAACAATCACAAAAGCACACACAAAATTGAGACTCATCTGATGTATAGACAATCATGCTGAATGACAAGTGTTGTTCCTGTAATTCTAGATGCACATTGCTTCCAGGATTCCTTTGTTTATATCTTGAAGATACCATTAAAACAGGTATATGCTGTAAACCAAACCAAGCTGTCAACTTTCCCAACAAAACCACTACTATAAACGTAAATAGGGTAAACTTCAGTCTTCTACTAAGAGCTCGAGAGACAATTATATACTCTCTACTACACTAAACATGGACAGTGGTCCAACAAGACCCAATATACATTTTCAGTAAAGTTAAGATGTAATAAAAGATAACTACAAGTTTCCACTACAAAACAAAAAAGCAAAGCAAAACAAACAATACTAGCTCAGACCTGACTTCATCCAGCTCATTTCAAGGTCCAGAGTTAAGAGATACTTCAATCCACTAAGCCACACTAACACACAAAATCAACAAAATTCAAGCCTATGTCAGCTGTTTATCACCTTCAACCTGATCAAGCCAACCTACCCAAGCAGAACCTCTACAGTCTTTGGACTACATTACAGTGGGACAGTGTACAGTGGTACGTTATGTATACCAAAAGCGGAGCTGATCTTACCTTTTAGCTCTTAACTGGCGCAAGTGATGGGAAACGTTGATCACATCTCTTATGCGTCGAGGCGCTTCTTCAATTTTGGAAGCAAGATTGATGCAGGCCATCGCAACAATCTGAAAAAGAAGCCCATTGCCGTGAGAAACTTGTTTCCCCCAGTGGTTCATACACAACGCATTATAAACACGACTAGGAGCTAACCCTAATGGGAGATATGCCAAAAAGAAACCACCCAAGCCAGAAACAGTGCTGTGGAGACTCCTTGCCTGAGGCAAAAGAGCGGAGTCAAGGTGAACAATCCTAACTGAAAACACTCACTTCATACGTTTGAATGGCCTTCAGTACCTCTCGCCCCCTCCCCAAAAAACCACAACCAACGAAAACCTTAAGCCTGCCTACACCCACCAAAAAAACTCACCTCGAAGCTGTGCTTGACGAACGACTTGGAATAAAAGAAGCGGTGAAACAACACCTGCCCGGTTGCCATCGCCACCTGCGAAGACAATCCCCCGGCGGGGAAGAGACAGGAAGATAAGCCATGTTAGTAACAGGCGAAGCGCGCATGCGCGGAGTCCAGCTAACGCCTCCCACCCTCCCTTTTCCGGAAGCGGCATCGGCGCCGGGCCTGTCAAGCAGGCCGAGGTCGCCAATCCGCCGCCATCTTGTGTCCAGCGCCCTCCTTTCCCCTCACGGAGCCCCGTCTCGGGTCAGCGCGGGCGGGAGAAGAGAAGAGGCGCCCTTAGGTGGCGGCGGCGCCCTCCCCGTCCTCACTTTCCTTCCCCTGCTCACAAAACCGAGGCCGAGGCCTTGGGCTCCGCGGTAGGCCCCGTCGGAGGCCGCCCCCCCTCCCCCGGCGCTGACCTGCGGCAGGCGGAGCATGATGCCGGCGGCCTGGATGAGCTCGCAGCCCAGGATGCGCAGGTCCGTCTCGCTCTGGAGGTCCAGCCCGTCCTGCATGGAGGGCGTCGGCGAGAGCCGCTCCTCGGGGATGAGCGAGTGGTCGATGGTCAGCGACACCTCCGAGTACAGGCGGTCCCCGATGAGGATACCCGCGGGGGGAGCCGAGGAGGACGCGGCCGGGGCGAGCGAGGCGCCTGAGGCGGCGGGGGAAGGATGAGTCCCGCTGGAGGAGGCCATGGCGAACGACCGCGACCAACACGCTCGCCTCGACGACCGCACCCGGAGCCGGCCACGCACGGAATAACGCGTTTGCGCCCGGCGCCCGATGACGCAGCACGGAGCGGGGCGCGCTGGGAAAAAAGAGTCCCTCCCCTCCCTCCCGCGCTGACGTGAGGCGAGCGGCACGTTCTTCGTGCGTGAACTCGCCTTGGCGAGACGGCGAGGGGAGGGGGCGGTGAGCTCCAGCTGCTAAGAGGCGCTTGGAAAGGAGCCGCTTGTGTTGTTTTTTGTTTGTTGTTTCTTTTTGCTTCTTTGCTTTGTTTAACTCTTTTTCTTCTTTTTTTTCTGTAACTTTTAAACTCTTAATAAATATTATTATTTTTTTAAAAAAGGAAAGGAGCCGCTTGCGCTACCCCTCCCGCCCCGTGCTATTTCAGGGCGTCGGAATGCAGTTTCGGAATATGTTCCTTGATGTTACAAAAAAAATAAAAATAAAAATAAAATACGAACAGCTGCTAGCTGCCAGCCCACCTCTTTCTGCAAGTCGGAAACGTAGCATTTCAGGGATGTTTTAGCTCAGCCTGTCGCTGCTCTGCTATGTTTCTACTTGCAAGGACACACACACACACACACACACACACACACACACACACACAGTGGTACCTCGGGTCACATACGCTTCAGGTTACATACTCTTCAGGTTACAGACTCCGCTAACCCAGAAATAGTGCTTCAGGTTAAGAACTTTGCTTCAGGATAAGAACAGAAATCGGGCTCCGGCAGCGCGGTGGCAGCAGGAGGCCCCATTAGCTAAAGTGGTGCTTCAGGTTAAGAACAGTTTCAGGTTAAGTACGGACCTCCGGAATGAATTAAGTACTTAACCTGAGGTACCACTGTATATTATTGCCATAGGAGCATGAGCATAGCCAAGGAGGGGGACAGCTGCCCCTCTTATAAAGCAATAAAAATCTGAGCTTCTGTGCCCCCCCCTAACAAAAATCCTGGATACGCCCATGCATAGGAACCAACAGCCCTCCATGAAGTATTTTAGGGGGGCGGCCCTGCCAAAGTGGATGGGAATTGCCATTCAAATAGTGCATGCGTGCCACATCTTGTGATCAGTTAGGTGGGGTGTGGCTTACCTCCACCCCCCTGGTTTCCTGGTTGCACGCCTGTATATTATGCACACGAGCAGACAAAGGGAAGCATGAGAAGTATGTTCCCTTTATGTGCCCTTAGAAATAGTTCTGTACACAGTTCTGCTTGCACCATTCCATGCTGTTGCAAGTTTGGGCAAAGGCCCAAAAGAAGATGGAAGCAGGGCTCGCCCAAGACATTTTGGCACCTGAGGCAAACTACAAGATGGTGTTCTGGTCTGATTCACAGCTGTTTCAAACACCACACTATTCTGCCACAGAAAACTCACATCGTGTATTATACATCTATTCACAAGTGGGTGTTTTTTTGTGGGTGTTTTTTTAATGCTTAAAAAAGTGCTTTCTGTGTAGGAAATACAGTAATTGTTTGTCCACATTTGTCTCCAAAGAGCTTAAGGCTGTATACATAGTATCTCCCAGTGCCGGATTTACCTATAAGCTAAACAAGCTACACCTTAAGGCCCCACTCTCTTGGGAGCCCCCTAAAAAATTAAAGGAAAAAAACAACTGGATGTACATTTCCAAAATATAAGATAAAAAAATAAAATAAAACCTACATACAGCAACACCTTTTAGGTCCATAAATTACCATATATTCAACACAAAAAACCGACAATTTCTTGTTGACAAAAGACAGCTAGACATATAAAGGGCCCCATTACCTTCAGTATCTTAGGGCCTCGTCAAACCTAAATCCAGCCCTGCTCCAGTCCCATTTTATCCCATTAGTCTTGCTAGGTTGGAGGACTGGCCCAAGGCTGAGCAGGGCATATGGGTTCAGGTTTCTCCCCCGCCCCATATTCTTGTCTGTCACTCTAACCACTATACCTCACTGCAACATTTACATATGTAACAAAGCATCAGATGAAGAAATCCCATCAAAGTGAAGACAGTTAAGAAGCAACACAGAGTTCTGAGCCAATATGAAGGCCTCTTATCCCAGACACGCTTTTTGAACGCAGGTCAAAATAGTTGCCTTCCCTCTGTTCAGCTGAGCGACTGAGCAAATGTCCCAAACTGCGCTTCATTTTATGAGGCGAACAAATGCCAGGAGGTGAGACTTCCTTGTCTGCATCATAAGTGCTCTGGCTGGAGTTTCCTGGTAAGCGAGAGAAAGGTGCACTCTGCGTATGCTCAGGAGCAGTGTTCAAAACTCCCATTGTTCTAGGCCGGGGTAGGCAACCTAAGGCCCGTGGACCGGATGCAGCCCAATTGCCTTATCAATCTGGCCCATGGACAGTCTGGGAATCAGCGTGTTTTTACATGAGTAGAATGTGTGCTTTTATTTAAAATGCATCTCTGGGTTATTTGTGGGGCATAGGAATTCGTTCTCCCCCCCAAAAAAAATATATAGTCCGGCCTGAGGGACAATGGACTGGCCCCCAGCTGAAAAAGGTTGCTGACCCCTGTTCTTAGGTGCACTTTGAGACAGGGAATTCCATTTAATAATAATAATAATTTATTATTTATACCCTGCCCATCTGGCTGGGTTTCCCCAGCCACTCTGGGCGGCTTCCAACACCAAAATAAATTAACCTATTAAACATTAAAAGCTTCCCTAAACAGCGTGAGCTGCTTCTGAGCTCTGGGTACTGTCCGGCGCATAGCTGCCAACTTTTCTTTTCAAGGGAAATTCGCTTATTCCGAGTAGGATTCCTCGCAAAAAAAAAAGGGAAAAGTTGACAGCTATGGTCCCGCGCCTAAGATTTCAGATTTGAAAAATGAACGTAATATTTTAGCTGCAGTTTCTTCATTTTCAGCTTTGTATTCTTGTTATAAAAAAGCGCGCCTGGATGGATGCAAACCCGACAGACTTCCACTCCATATTTCATCTGCTGAGTCTCTTCTCTCACTGCTGCGACCTCTTGCAAACTAACCCCCGCCCTCCCCTTGTCCCTCTCCGCCAGTCTCCGCCCTCGCCCGCTTTTCGCAAGAGCTTGGCGCAGCTCGCACGCGCACGTGGGAAATTCCCAGCATGCCAGCCGACTTTTCGGAATCGGCACCTCCGTCATTCCGCGGGTTTCTGGTCGGTCTCGTATCCTTCCGCAGCCTCCAGGGCGAGCCGGCACTTCTTTCGGCACAGAGCCGAAGAAGCGGGCCAGGGGGAACGTGTCGTGGTTGACAGGGAAATAATGTGGCACCAGGGGGACAGGCCGCTCGGTTCCCGTTCTCAGGGCACTGCAGACAACTGTGTGCATATTAGAGGCTTGAAGGACAGCGAGGTCCTTCTCTCCACCCCCCCAAGGGGGGGCAGCAGCTAAATCAATCAAAATCAATACAAACCAATGCGAATCTGAGGTGCTGACCCCCCCTCCAACAAAAGCCTGCCCTCCCTAACAAAAATCCTGGTTATGCACTTGCAAATCACATTTTTAGGTTGCTGTGCACACAGGAAAGGAAGGGTTGAGGATGCTTTCGCTTGATAATAATAATAACGAAATTTTATTTATATCCTGCCCTCCCCAGCCGAAGCTGGGCTCAGAGTGGCTAACAACAGTAAAAGTAACAGAGTTTAGATAAAATCACAATTAATCAATTGAAATACATTCTAAAATCAATTCTTTCTAAAATCAGTTCAGAATCAAATTAATGGCAACCATTGGGCTAGAGTTCTGTGAGGATTACCAAAGTACAGTGGTACCTCGGGTTACATACGCTTCAGGTTACAGACTCTGCTAACCCAAAAATAGTGCTTCAGGTTAAGAACTTTGCTTCAGGATGAGAACAGAAATCGTGCTCCGGCGGCGCGGCAGCAGCAGGAGGCCCCATTAGCTAAAGTGGTTCTTCAGGTTAAGAACAGATTCAGGTTAAGTACGGACCTCCGGAACAAATTAAGTACTTAACCTGAGGTACCACTGTATGTGATTTGTTTGAGCCCACAACCTCTCCTGAACTTCCAACAAAGTTCAACTTGCGCATGTAATAGTGCCACTGCATTCTGCTCTGGTCAGACCTCACCTGGAGTACTGTGTCCAGTTCTGGGCACCACAGTTCAAGAAGGACACTGACAAGCTGGAACGTGTCCAGAGGAGGGCAACCAAAATGGTCAAAGGCCTGGAAATGATGCCTTATGAGGAACGGCTAAGGGAGCTGGGCATGTTTAGCCTGGAGAAGAGGAGGTTAAGGGGTGATATGATAGCCATGTTCAAATATATAAAAGGATGTCACATAGAGGAGGGAGAAAGGTTGTTTTCTGCTGCTCCAGAGAAGCGGACACGGAGCAATGGATCCAAACTACAAGAAAGAAGATTCCACCTAAACATTAGGAAGAACTTCCTGACAGTAAGAGCTGTTCGACAGTGGAATTTGCTGCCAAGGAGTGTGGTGGAGTCTCCTTCTTTGGAGGTCTTTAAGCAGAGGCTTGACAACCATATGTCAGGAGTGCTCTGATGGTGCTTCCTGCTTGGCAGGGGGTTGGACTCAATGGCCCTTGTGGTCTCTTCCAACGCTATGATTCTATGATTCTATGTATGCAGTGTTATAAGAAAAAACTGGTCCTGTAACATCCCCCCCCCCCGCAACTAGTATTAGAGGCATACTAGCTATGGAGGCCTGGTGGCAGCCCCCAGCATACCTGAGCATTTGCTAGGGCCCAAGGCACCTTGTGAGGCTTGCCTGCTCCTTGCTGCCCAGTGCCTGCTGCCACAGAGCTGACTTCCTGCTCCTCCTTCCACCGCTTGCTGGCACACTTTATCAACGCTGCTGGCAATGTCGTGGGGCAGAAGCCAAGTGGCCACCTGTCTCCCAGCCAGCAGCAACGATGCTGTTGCCGAATAACGCTGTGAACAAGCAGCGGGGTTGGGTCACTGCTAGCTGCCCGACTCCTCACCCTCACAAACGAGAGGGGAGATTGGCAGCTGCTAGAGCTCCATCAATGGGTCCCAAGTGGGTAGCTTGCTCAGCGCCCCCCCCCCAAATGTGGAGCCACCTGTCTAGGATCCTATACATAGCGTATATTTATCACGA